GTGTGGGGGGGGGGGGGGTTTTTGTAGCATTTGTAGGATTATGTTTATTTGTATGATATGAATCTGTAGATCAATACACTGTTACCAGTTCTCCACAACTAGTCTAAAACCAGCAATGCACCACCTTATTTTCTAAAGCTAAGTGAATATAATCAATGAACTGATTGCAATAAATTACCATGTATGATTTAACAACAAAGCAATCACAGGAATTGGAGTATGTTAAAAGTGATTGTTATTACTCACAAACATTTTCCAACATGTTGGAAAATATATGTTGTTGACAAAGGATTATTCCTTTTTCCCAATAGAAAAGGGGGATTTGCCTGCTTATGGCCAATAAAGTGAATCCTGTAACATTTACAGATAATGATACCATGAAAGCAGGAATCTGGCATACATGATCAAAGAAATGCCATACTAATGAGTAGGAATATTAAGAGTTGACACAAATATCTGCAGATTGCGCAATCCTACTAACATTCTGCCAATAACTTTGTCATACAGAAACACATAAGTAAGCTGGCCGCAAACATGCCAGAAGTATTATCCAACTGGCCAGATACTACTGTGTGCGTCATCAAAAAGTCTCACTGAATTTAAATGGATCACTATCAGGCATGTTCCTAATGGGGCCAGACCACACCAGTCTTTGAATGCAGTTATTTTCTGGCTACACTTAGTGTCAGCTATGTATGTTTACTTGTTCTCAACCGCAAGTCTGCTGACTGCTCATGGTCATCCATATGGGCACATATTAAAATATATATTGCTACACACATTACATATAAAATGTATCTTTCACTCCTGGGTTTTCAGATTTCAGGGTGACATCTGCTGTACATGCCACTAAAGAAGCTTGACTGGGCAGAATCTCTGTGCTGCACATCATAGAACCAGCATGGCTGGATGACTTGTTTTTACTTTTGAATGCATTTTAACTAAAGTTTTACAGTATTTAGTTTTTAAAAAAATTTGGGGCTAAGACATACTACACTATTTGGAGTGTTTTCACTCAGACACTGGTCCTTCCCTGTTGAAAGAAGTCATCACGGACTATCTACTATTTGCTATCTTGTAATACAGGGCTTAAAATTTCCACTCGCCTGCTCGCATTTTGCGAGTAAAAATAAGGTGGAAATTTGAGAGCAGAGCAGCTCCTGTCAGTTCTGGCTTCCTTCGATCGGAGCTCTGACAGTTCTGAGCTCTGGCAAAGGAAAGAATGTCTGTTAGCAGCATCGATGCCTTGCTATCTGGGTGTGATAGTGAGGGCTGCTGCAGACCTTGGGGGCGTGGCGGGGGGAGGGGCTGGGGTGGGGGGGCGGGCCTGGGGTGGGGTTGGAGGCGGACCTGGGCAAGGTTTGGTGGGGCAACTGGTGGAGAGTAAGGTTTTTGCCTGGCTAGTAGGTCTAGACTTGAAATTTTAAGCCTTGTTGTAATATTAAGGTCACTCTCTGCAGGAAAGTGAGTGTTCTAAGTGCCATGCAGGTGGTTGTATCTTTGCTCCTATTATATGCTGTTTGACCATCTTTGCACAAAAGAGGTCTTACCTTTTTTGGGTTCTGATTTGAGGAAAGTGCATATACTATATGCCTTTTGAATTTTTGGAGCACAATTAACCTCACACTGGTCTTCAACACTGAAAGTGGTGTTGATATCTTGAAAAAATGCTTCTTATAAAGGAGATCTTCACTGTCCCAGTGCTTGAAGGAGCACTGGGACAGTGCTTGACAACTGCTTGAAGGAGTAGGTGACTAAGGGAGATTTCTCATATTATTTCTACAGTCACTCATCAGTTGCATGAGTACCTTTACCACAATTTTAAGGAACATTATGTGGAACTGTAAGAGATACATGGAGGTAGGAGACATATGCATGTTATAAAACTAATATCTAGAGAGTTTGATTGTTGAAAGCTACACAATTTTGAAATCTCACATTAAGACAAAATAAAAAATGATTTTCACCTTGATCTTTAAATGAACCGTATCCGGATTTACAGGTACTTCGATACGAATTATTCCATTTTCAGGAAGTGTGTAAGTTATAACCTGCTGAATTGCAACATTCATTTCATCCTCTGGGAACATGTTTGTCCCTTCAGTGAAAAACATTTTTGACTGAGTTATTGTTACAGAAACATCATGTAGTCTATCATCTGCAGTCAGCTTTTTTCCATCATATCTCTTAATTTTAAGCTAAGGGGAAGAAAACAAAAAACAGAAAAAAATCTAAACACTATTTCATATTTGTTTCTGAAAAATATGAAAACAACATAAGTATTCTACTGTTACTGAAACAGTGACATGGTTGCTGCAGTTTTCTGTTCTACATTTTAGACAAAAAAACACAATGTTCTAAACACAATAATAGTAAACAACAAATGTTTGCACAAAATATTATGAAAGAATAAATATAAAGAATAAATATGGCCATAGACTGGTGGATATTGCCACAAGAAGTGGCATAAATGCATTAACTTTATCCTTTATTTCTCTTCCATAACAGGTCACAGGGAGATACATTTTCCAATAATCTGAAAAATCAGTCTTATGATAAAGATGCATCTGGCCACCTTGTGGTGCTAGCTACTGCCCACTGATACCAAAATTGGGACTGTCGGCCGGCCAATGGCCGGCCGCTCGGCCAGCTTCGGCTTTCAGCACGGCTCAGCGCTCGACTGAGCTGCTCGGCCGTGATCGGGAGCTGTACGGGCTATTGTGAATAGACCGTACAGCACCCCCTCGGTTCTCCTGAACCGAAGGGGTCCTGGGGCCGAAGCCAGCCGAAGGATCGGCCGAAGCTACGGCCAGATCCTTCGGCAGCTTCGTGAATAGACCCCTATTTCTCCAATGATATCAACAATGGAGCACCATTCCTTCCACTTACACCAAGAATGGGCATTATTGCTCTTCTTACTAACCCCGACATTAGTCTCAACCCTGGAGCATTTGTTACTCCCACTAACCAGTGAGAACAGGGCATTTTCTAGTCCCATTGGGCACAGTCCAGCTCCGCTATGGCCTGAAAGACACTGAAATGCCCTTTATTTAGAAAGTTTGAAGACCACTGGTGTAATGTGTGCCGTATACTAATAATTTCAAATCACAATATGAGAAGTCACAGAAAGGAGCTATCTTTCCAGAACTTCTGTGACACCCACGTTATGTATTCTATATACAGTACATGTCAGACAAGTACTACACTTTAATGCAGATAATGAAATGTGAACAGAGTCAGATAAATAGATATGCTTTTTCCATTCTAATAAATACTTTGATAAGGAACTTCTACATGAAAATTGTATGCAAAATGCAGATATTACGTAGACATTTAAATATGTCACAGGAAATGTTAACTTACATAAGAAGTGAAGTTGAGCATTGGTTTGAGAACTGTGGGATAGTTGTAAAATTCACTGTAGTATTCTTTATCAATAACATATATGCTGGAAGTTTGGTTTTGTGAAATACCTAAGAAAACAGAGTATGCAATATATTATTATTAATCTCTTTTGTCATGTAGGTACAAAGCTAGTTAAATATAATCACATTATAAGAGCAATTCCACCCAAGATCCAGTAGCGCCTCATGAATATATTTTAATTTTAAATGCAATTTTACAAAAATAAAATGGACCAGTCCACTCTAAACCATAGTACAAGGTGGCAGGCTGAGCCCCACATCAGCTTCATATATTAACCCACTTGAACATTTTGTCCATAAGTCCTTAGTCATAGTTGGTTATTAGGGATGAGCTTCGAATTCACAACTACAAAGGGTTCACTGCAAACTCTGGATGTGTGCTGTTCACTGAACAGGCAAACTAAAATGGTCTTCTCACCGGTCTGTCATAGTGAATCACCAGCTACTGCAGGAAGTAAAGCTTCCTGCTCAGGGCCATTCATCCACCCCCTGATTTGTTGCTTGGATGCTGTGCAAGCTTGCCTGCCCCTTCCTTCTTCCTGCACATTCTTATTAGCCAGGTAGACAGTCGATCAAAATGAGAGGCAAAACAGTACAGAACAGGCACAGTACAAAAAGGAAGTATGTTGATGGAGTTTCAATCAATTCCACAATCCCAAAAAAGAAGTAATAAGGATAGTACCACTATATTTAAAGAGTAGAGAGAAGATGACTTAATATAACAGGAACTGCCAGAATCCAAGACATAGACAATTTTTATTTAGGATTTATTAAGCATCCCATGATGAAGACAATTACGTTCTCCGCTCTCTGCTTGGAGATGATCGGCAAATGAGCGAACAACGGTATGTGTTCGCTCACTTTCCGATCAATAGAGCCGACGTGTGACAGTTTTAATGTCACACATCGGCTCTAACTATGAGGACGAATGTAAATTACTCACCTCATAGTTCTCCTTTAAGTTCATGTCAGGTTACATTTGGAGGTAATTTGTTTCCTGATTCGGCAATATAGATATATCATTTTTATACACCGCTTGGTAACCCCATAAAAATGAAAGTGCACATGCATCCATATACAAGATGATGATAAAATGCCCAAGTTACTTTCTTTATGACTTGTCAAATTTGCTGGTATTATTTTGATTTATCATTTAAAAAAAAAAATGCTTTTGCTGATTGTGATTTTTTACAATAGTGAAAGTCTGAAAGTATATAAACAGAATTTAAATATTTCATAGGTGCTTATATTTATTTGGTACATAGTTCAGCATTTAAGCCAACAGTCAAAAATACCACAAATTGTGTTTTATTTATTACTGAAAAATGAAAATCATTCATATAACTAGTCTTCTGTTTCCTTTACAAGTATTTCAATTGAATTCCAAATACTGAATACGGCAAAAATGTAGGGAGAAGTCGCTTCTCAAATATCTCAGTGTCTCAGTGATTTATGGCATAACGTTGTGATGAAATGCACTGTTATAAAATGACTAGTTAAATAATTCTCTTTGACTATATTAAAAAAGAGACCCCTGTGACTTATCCAAGTATGCTTCTCAGAGAACACACATTTTAGTTTTCTCCCTAAATAAGCAGTAACCTAATAGGGAAATATCAGGTCACTGTTCTAAGTAAATACTTGGCACAAACTCTTTTAACATTTCTGTTGATCAGTTTGCACTTCGAAGTTAAAGGGTGAAATTCCAGCATTTTAAAACATGCAAAAATACGATATTCATACACATAATGTATATGTTAAACAGCTGGACACATTTTCATTTATGATCCAGACTGTGATTCTCTTCCACAAAAGCAAATTTTATAGATTGATGAATTTACGTATAGAATGCATCTTACCTCCCTAGGAACTAGAGAAGTAAAACATAAAAAACGTCATTCCTACGTGACATTATTAGGTAACAGACTGACATAAGCCCATAAAAATCTTGCCTTCATTGTTTCTACTTGATGGATAATAAAAACTTAGAGTCTAAGCAATACACTAGGTACATACGGTATTATATCTGCTATTCCAAGTCTAGTGCATGATTAACAAGGGGTATATGTGTTTTTTTAATATGTAGTTTATTTCTTTAATCATTAATATAGTATTAAAGGATCATTTGTTAGACTAAATGTGGAGGGTGTGTGTATATTTTGCACAAGTGCATTTAGGCTGATGATTCAGTCAGTTAAATGTGAACGTTCAGGATGCCAATAAAATTTGGTTGCTTTTAAAAAGCCCCCCAAGACATTGTGCATGTATCTGTGTGTGTTTGTCTGCATATGTTCAGTTTCATTCTACTAATACTGACTCTAACAGGGTTATTCACAAAAGGGTGAAGAGTTTGAAGTAGGCAAGAGAAGTGAACAATCTAGGACAAAAGATCTGATTTGGACAAATTCTCCAATTCAGCTCACTTTTACAGTACAGCTACGTTGTCCTGGATTGTTCCCTTTTCCTGCCTTCTCCAAACCCTTTATAATTTAGTGAATAGCCCTGTCAAACACTAACAGACCCTAAAAGTTCCCCTGCCTAATGCCTGATTTCCTGTGTCATAGGATAACAATGTGACAATGTCACACCTTGTGGCATGGTGATGGGCTGCTGCAATAAACACTGCAGTTATACTAAAGCATGGTGACTAATATGAGAATGATAATAAGTGAAATATCTGTAAAACAAATTTTTACAGATATACCATGATTTGGATGAATGAGAACCTTCACATACAGTAGATAATAAGTGAAACAGTCCCCAATGAACAGAGTGACTGTACAGTACTGTAATAAATTAAGGCTCTGAATAGCTCTAATAGGAAGTATGTCTGCTGTGTCTGTAATACTTTTACATAAGCATAGCTCCCAACTGTCCCTCATTATGGACCAAATCCCTCTGTCCCTCTTTCCTCCTCAGTTGTCCCACTTTTTGGTCCGATGTACAAATAGCTATGAGCATGTACTATTTAAAAGAGAACTATGGTCAATCCGTTTTTGACGTTAGTTCTCTTTTGGAGGACTATTATTAGTGTCTTCTTGTGACACCAAACTTAGCATATAGTGGGCTATTGCCCACTATATTCTGACTATATTCTGACTATATTCTGACAGCCAGAAGAGATCCTGACAATATTGTTGGGATCCACCCCACTGCCTGATTGACAGCTGGCTCTGCCTCTGCCTCTCTAGAACAAGAGCCAGCTGTGCCTGCCCCCTCCCCTGTCGTTCCCTCCTATGAGCTCTGGAGGAACAAAGAAAGGAGGAGGAATACCTGTGGGGAGCGGTGACTGACAGTGAACTGAGCAATCAGCAGTTTGTGATCACTCTATTCTTAATCAATAGAGCTGACGTGTCACAGCTGCAGTGTCACAGGTTGGCTCTTACTATGAGGATGAGTGCATTCCACTCTTCCCATAGCCCTCCTTTAACTACCAAAAGTGTTATTTTCCACTAAAACCTTGATCTTATCTCTTAATTATCTTGTTTGACCTGTTGACAAATCAGTATAAAGGAAAGGTAATGGTGAAAAAAAAACCCAAAAATGTCTGGGTTTAAAGCAATATTTTTTTGCATATACATTCTTAATGGTCCACATAGCTGGGACAGTGTCCATTGTCAAAATACACTGTACTGGCTTTCTCATCTCTGAAAATTGGAAGTTATGTATATAGCTGTTGTGGCTGATAACACATTCCTGGCTGGCTGACTAGCTGTATGTTTACACAGGGGTGTCTGCTGAATGTCGCCAGAAGTTAAAAATGCTACAAAATATTTGTCATGATGATATAATATCATGAATATCTACATAAAATTGGCAACAAAACCAAAATTCTTAATAATGAGTATAAAAGCAATATCACATGCACAGTGGGCAAAACATAAAATTCACTCACAGCATTAAGTTACACCACAACTCTGGCAATGAAGGGTTTATATATATTCTTCCCTCTTTATTCCACAACTCCTACCTCCCAGTGCAAAAAGATAGATACCTTACACAGTATTTGAGGTTGAATAAAGACACAGGTCCATCAAGTCCAACCTATTGGATTAAGTCCAACCTATTGGATCAAGTCCAACCTAACCTACCAACCTGAAGGATTGGAAAGCAGAATTAATGTTTTTATCTTGTACTAACCCCAGTTTTAACTTATTCTGTTCTTCTAAGAAGTGAAGAATAGAATTGCACTTAAAAAATATCTGCCTTACCTGTTAGCTCCTCTGTGACTTTGGCAGTAACATCTATTGGACCAGCAAAGGTTAAAGGTTTGGAATCAGATGATGCTTCTTCATATCTCAAAAATGTTCTCAGCTCTGAATTAGTCAAACTAAATTTTGAACTGCCATTTATCTACAGATGCATGAAAATGGAAAAGTTCGGAAATGAGAGTAAATATAATTAAAAAACAATATTATTGTCATATGCACATTTGCACAATAATATATTTTAAAGCAGTCTGCCTCAATGTACACCTTCGCTCCCACTGACAAGGTCTTGTGGCTTCTTGCATCCAGATCTTAAAGCGGGACTACAACCACCTATGTCTTACAGCCAAGGAAGGTGCCATTTAGCCTCTATTTAAATTGCAATTGCCAGGGTGCTGCACATGTGATCAGCTACGACACCAGCCATTTGAGGGCTTGAAAATTTGATTCAGAACTGAAAAAAGCAGACTGGCAATCTCCACAGCCTGCATTCATTGAAAGTAACTGTTTTGGCAGGCAATAAATTGTTGGGTAAAGTTCTTCTTTAATAACTTACACCTCTAATCTGAATTCATCTACAGCTATGACCATTTATAAAACTCTCAATTCCAAAAATCTGCAGAGAGCTGCTGCTCTCTGGCCAGCTTATTATTATTACTGTTATTATTATATATTATTTGATATGACCCTTACTAACCAACCAGATTTCAAGAGTGTTTTTCCTGATTATGCATGTTGGGGTAAACAAATGTGCCCAGGTTCAGTCCACAGTGAATATGTTAAATCCTGCATGAAGCGTGAAACAACCCAAACTTAAAATCAAACCCCACTGTAGTTTATGGGGGGAAGGGGCAACACTCCCCATGCTGTTGCTTCCTGTTGGATACACGCTGCCACAAGGAAATTGATGAGCTTATTTTACTGTGTTGTTTGTGAGCGTCATTTTATTTGTTTTTTAAATAAAAGCCTATTTTAAAAATGCTGCACAATGGGAGATATTAATCTTTCTGTTTGAGCCTTACACTGGGGGTATCTCTGAGTGGAGAAGGAGGAGCAGTGCACTGGTGAATTTAAGTAGAATCTTACCTGCATTGGAACAGGCTTTTTATAGAGGATTGGATATTGAGAGGAAGGAGAGAGGGCTTGAGTTATAAACTAATAACCTATAATATATGTAGAGGTGAATGAGGAAAGGAATTCATAGTTCCTATGATACAAGCACTTTAAATGGAAATCTGGTGAGTGCGTTTGAAAGAAATAAGGAGCACGGTGGTGTTTTGGTGAAGATTCATCACAGAGGCTATTTAGACTTATCAGACTATTATTTTGAAAGTGGGTGTTGCACAAATGACATATGGGACTTTGCACCTCTTGACTATTTATTTGTGTGCATTAGTGCTGGACAGAACCCCCACCTGTATGGTTCGATTTCGAACTTTAGAACATGGAAAAAGTTCGAATTTGAACTCAAACTCAATGCAAGTCTATGGAGTAGAACTTTGAAAATCAAATGTCCCCATTTTGAAGCCTTAAATGCAAGTTATTAAAAAAGTGTGGGGTTCCCCCAAAAGTCATACCGGACCCTTAAGGTCTAGTAGGAATTTTAGGAGGGAGCCCATGTATAAAAAAAACCATAAAAGTGTGTGGGGTTTCCCCCCCTCAAAGTCATATTAGGCCCTTAAGGTCTGGTAGGAATTTTAAAGAGGAACCCTACCTCCAAAAATGGGGAGGGGGAAATGTGGGGACGCCCCAAAAGAATTCCCAACCAGACTAATGATCCGAACACAGGCCTGGCAGGAAAGGGGGTGGGGAAATGAGCGAGGGGCCCTGCAAAGTCTTTTATTTTAAAAAAAAAACACACAATGGATCCACCGACGTCGATGACGACTCGACAAAATAAAAAATAAAACAATTAAAATAAATAGAAATAATTTAAAAAAAACGACGATCGCCGTCCCTTCCGATCACGATGAACACACGCAGCAGAATGGCATTTCGATGACAGAAACATATAAACAATTGGGCAGAGCTAACGGTGACAGCTAGCTCCACCCAACTGTTTACAATAGTATGGAATCTTACAGGTGAGCCATGATTGGGCAAAGTCATCATGACTTTGCCCAATCATGGCTCTAACAGAGTACTGGGCCCTGATTGGTCAAAGTCTTGCACAGTCAGGCACAGTGCTTTGCGGGGCGCTCGGCAGGCGAACAGCCCGCCGAATGCCCTGACAGTTAGTGTGTTCACCGAACACACGAACTGCCGATGTTCGAGTTGAATTTGCGTTCGACTCAAACATCGATCACATGCCTAGTGTGCATAACGATTATACATGAATGTGTGAAGACTAAGAAATGTTTATACATACATTTTTTGGCTTTTGCACAGATTGTTATAATTTGTTTCATATTATTGGTAAAGCTCAGTACATGAGTACATGAGACACTATAAATCACTTTATCACAGCCCATTTCAACACACTGCAAGATGACACAAAATGCTGCAGCACATAGAATTTACTTAGCATCATAGCAATGCATCACAGCACACGGCAGCACACCTTTACACTGCACAACAGCACACTCACGTTATGTGCTATGCGTTGCCATACAGTATGGTGTGAACCAGCCCTTAGACTTTTCAAAGTTTTTAGGCCAAAATTTTAAATTCTTCCTAATTAGTTGCTTGCAACTTCTACAAATATTTGTGTTTTTAAATTGATTCCCCCCCCCCCACAGCATTTACTGTACCTAAAACGTTTAAAATCTACTTACCTCAAATATTTTGGTGACATTATTTTGCTGAAAAATAGTTGCATATGATAAGGTAACATTTAGCTTTCCTTTCACAGGCATTCCATAGTTATACCTACAATTAATCATAAATAAAACTGTAACAACCAGTCCATGTGTATAGCACGCTGTATTATAACTTTACTCAATATGGCTCTACTTAATTATTATGTAACTAAATTGTGGCTCTCATGTCATTTGTAATAACTACAATAGACATATTCACTTCACAATACAACATTACAATCAGAAGCAAATTCAGTCTCATGAGCGCAGTACTGTATAAAAGTTCTATAATCATAATAGGCTGTAGTTTGATGATAATAGGCTGTAGTTCAGGAGGCTCCATATTTTATAGTAATACAAAATATAATGCATATTCAATAAAACAGTGTAGTATTGGCTTTAAAGAAAAACTCCAGGCAGAAATTGTATTAACATTGAACTATTCCCAATATATTGTTTCCCCATGATGGTTGTGAGTTGTTCAATGTTATGGTGTTTATGATACATGGAAGCAAACACAAGGATGGTATTTTGTATGTAAGTCAGAAATGTCAAGAAGAACTCTAGGCAGAAATGTTATTAACCCTTGCAGTGGGTTGCAAGTGCTCGTTTTTGCCCTGGGTAAAAAAAAGTTATACTCACCCAAAACTCCGAGCCGGCAGTGCTCCCTCCAGCCTCTCTCCTCTTCTGCTGCAAAGAGGGTATGTCCCTCGGCATCCTCCAATCCTACAGTGTATTGGACGTGATGACTCAAGGACTCCTAGACCACTGCACGAAGGGGGAAAGACTCTCAAGGGACTGTGTAAGAGCCAGCCGGCTGGGAAACTCAGGTGGGTATAACTTATTTACCCTAGGCAAAAATAAGTTAACCCTTGCAGTCCAGGGGTAGCCCCACTGCAAGTTTTAATAACATTTCTGCCCAAAGCTCTTTTTTAAATTGCTGACCAGCATACCAAATACCATAGCTTCTATGTATTATAAACACCATAGCATTGAACAGTTTACAACCATCATGGGGCAACAATATATTGGGAATATTTCAACGTCACAGGTATATTGTGTTAACAAGTGTATGACTTGCAATAAGAAAACCATTTGTCATTTTGATTTGCTATTCTAAATCTTACAATCAGGGGTGAAAGGATTTTAGTCACATATAATAGTTTTTTTTTGTTATAGACAAATTTGAAGTATAAAATTCACTTACTTCGCAGTAACTGTGCCTTCTAATGACCCACTTTTTATTGACTGATATGAGGGAGTGGACAGGACGACCTCAAACTTGGGTAAAACTAGAGGATAGGGAATACCTTGTAAGAAAATTATATATAGAATCACAAGTGCATTTTTATATTTTACAAATAGTTTGCTGAGTGTAAAAAGGTAACAGAGTAATAAAAGCTAATGCAATCAAGTCATGGAAGCCAAAATGAATAGTAGCACGTACAGAAGGTTTTATTTAACAGTGTAGAGCCAAGATTACAATGTATATGAGCATTAGAATTATGCAGGTTCCAGTTACTAAGGTAACAGGATTTAAATGGTCTTTAAAAATGTTATATTACTATATTAAACTCCAAGAAGTAATATTCTTTGGGTCTGGTTTTAGCATCTACAATAACCCACAACAGGTACTATCAATAATTCCTGACTTTATCTGTGCTACCAAAAAGGGTATTTTTAGGGGTCTGTTTATCACTGTTTTCACCAAAAGTTCACACATTTGTCAGCCAAGATACCGTAATTTTATAAGTGATTTAACCGAAAAATGTGTGACTCTTCGGTGAAAGGTGTGTAAATATTGGGTGATAAACAGACTTCTTATAGCAAGACACCAAGACACTGGTGTTCAGTGTCCCTCCCCCTTTATAGTGGAATTAGAATGGAGCTAGCTGAACTGAAATGCTTGGAATATGGAGGAATTGATGGCTAAGGATAATAACAGAAAGGACACATTTAATAACACCTGGGCCTGCTGAAGAGACCTCAGCACATCTAGCAATTTGTATCTGTTCTTTTAGGATGTTTTCGTTCTTGCATATGAGTAGAAATTGGTGGTGATGCCTATGTTTTTCTGCTTGCCTTAGAGGAGTGTGGGTATTGCTGGGACCTTGCAAGTCTTATTTCACCCTTCTTATATGCCACTTTCTTAATTTTTCCCTGATTTCTATTTTGTAGTTTATTTGGTTTATATAACACATATCTTCTTCTATTTATCGTTCTTTTTCTTTTACTATATTGGCAATTTTACTAGTGTACAGGAGCACATTTAGCACATAAAACTGTGTTACATAAGAGAGTCATTCTAATAGAGGAAACTGCCTTGGTCACAGGCAGAAGACCTCTAGTCAGGCAGAGCATGGAGAAGTCACTTTAACTATCCACAGAGGGTAGACAGTGACAGCACACCGAGCTCTGACCCTTTTGAGTATGACCCCACAGGGTTGGAATGTGTTTCCAAGAAGATACATCCTATCCATCAACCTACCTTCCAGACTACCTCTCACCACTTGTAGAAGCCACAATCAATATTGTTAAACATTTTTACATTACAGGAGCATGTGCATCAACGTAAGTGTTTGGGTTTAGATTCACATAAGTTAATGTTTTTTAAATTCATAATTTCAAGTTAGGAATATGTTTGTGCAGTAGGGCCACTTGGAATAATCTTTAAAGTCTGATCTATGTAATATAAAAAAATTGACATCCCATCTAAGACAAAGCAGGGGGATTCAATTAACTAATGCCCTTCCCCACTTTACATACTTACCTTCCTTTCACACTCCACATCCTAACCTGGAACTTACACAGGGCTGAGGATTCTCCTGCCACCCCTATGTTTACAGGATTTTATTTTAATTCATGTCTGCTTGACTAGGTGCTTGAAATAATACTGTGCAAGTAAATAAGTAAGTAAGACTGTGCAAATAACCCATTTAATAAATCAATGCTGCAAACTTTTTACTGGGTTTTTAATCTGCCTAACCTGAAAGAGCTTTACAGAAGAGAAAAACACAGGGGTCTATTCACAAAGCTGCCGAAGGATTCAGCCGTGGATCACTATTGGCTCCGCCCAGTTGTAATGACAGAGCAGCATCCCTAAATGACCTTGGGACGCTGAACTGTCATTAAACAATAACAACTGTGACAGTTGTTATTTATTGGCTGGGATGTGCTAGAAGACTCTAACAGGTTCCGGCCAATAGGAAGCAGTTGGGTGGCACTAGCTGTCACTGCTAGCTCTGCCCAATTGTTTTTTTTTAAATCTTTATTATTATTTTTTAAATGTAATATTCATTTACCTTTTAAAAATATTTTTTTCAACTTTTTTTTAAAAACTTTTTTCATTGATTTTCTATTCTGTGCGCTACCATGGAGGTACCGAGCAGAATAGCCGAGCAGAATGCCACTCAGCGGCATTCGGAGTTCACTCACTCCTGTTCGGCCCCTATGAGAATAGAGGCGAACGGCAGCAAGTGAGCTGCCTGAGCTTCGGCTCAGCCGGTCCAGATGTTGTATCGGCTGGGTCGAAGTCCTTTTGCACTTTGGCTTAGCCAAACATGCAGAGCATGTTCAGCTGACCAAAGTGCAGCTGAAGGCAGCCGATGTACGGCTGAAATTAGCCGTACTAAGCCGAAGTGAATAGCCGAACATTGTTCGGCTCACTTCACTTCGGCTCGGCTATTCAGTCGGCTGCCTTCTGCAGCTTAGTGAATGACCCTTACAATCTCTAAATTCTCATTAAATCTCTAATATGTTAATGGCATTTGTTATTTTTAAATCTGCAGCTTTTAGTAAAGGAACACCTGGAGATCTTGCTATTAAGGTCTTTGTTCAGGCAATTCCTATTTAGGGTGACAATTGTCTTCCCATCATGCTCCTGTATTATCACACTGTCCAATGCGACCCAAGTTGAGGATCAGGAAACCCTGAGCAATAATGTGCAGCCAATGCTAAAGCAAGTGTATGTATACAGGAAGTGTGAGATCTGAGCACCAAGATTATATAAAGAATTATAAAACGTGAAAACAGTATTTTATGGAAATAAAGAAATGGCTACGTTTATAATACTACAATACAAAGGACCAAGCATGAACTGCAAACGGTTTTGATGGAATATATGTGACATAGGTAGTATATGATTTCTTTGACAAAAATGATGCCCATCAGGCTTGCATAAAATATTGTGGTGTAATCTGTATTTGAAGTCATTATACACAGTGCTTTAGCACACTACATTTCATCCAGTTAGGGTTTAGATCTAACCTAATAGAACCTTTCCAGAGGACAAACATAAGATTTCCAGAACTCCTCAGATAATAGGGTGTTTCCTTCTTGAAGTAAATTTGTTATCAGTAAAATAATATTTGTAATGAAACCGGTAAGGTAATCTATGAATAATAAATTATACCTGATCTAACACAAACCTATATATTTTATATTGCAAATATGCTTACCATACTGGGTTACAGTAAATGTTTGAAAATGAGTTTGATGCTGCAAAAACAAAAGTTAAAAAACAAGTCAGATGTTTATAACTTGCTTGCCAAAGTTTTATTCTGTGTTATATCTGATGAATGCAAATTTCAAAAATAAAATAATACACAAAAACATATCTATGTGTCCTATGTGTTTCATTGATCAAAAAGTAGGTGAAACATTTGAACTTGGAAATATAGAAAAGCAATTCAAAGCAAATTAATTTAGTCTTTTCCATTCTTTATGCACACCTCTCTATTATCTGCTGACCAGGAGGGGGAAGTATTGTTAGCCTCTGCTTAGAAGCAATTATTCACCTGTTACAGGAGTATGGGGGAGAGTCAATAGTTGTAAATGCTGCATTAATAAAAGGTATAGTGTCAAGAAGAACTAGGAGTGCACGATCTTAAGATCGGTGTGAGATAAATGTAATAACATGCTTATTCACTAACTAGATTCCCTCAATCTGGAGATCTTCAGCCTTAAAGTTCAGGTCTCAGCACTGTTCCACTTTCTGAGCTCCACTCTGTAGCGGATCAACAGGAAGTTCCCATAGGCATATACTGGGCCAGGTACTAATTCTGGACAGCTGCACAGCAGAAAGCCAGGACCTGAATTTTGCAGCTGAAGATTACTAGACTGGGGGCATGGAGGTACATTTAAAGCATATCCTTCTTCTGAACTCACTCTGGACCAGAAAACTAACAATACTGGAGTTCTGCTTTAAAGAAAGCCATGTAATTAATGTATTTGCTGGCAGTCAATCTAGCAACAGTCCATAGTGTAACACTATATATGTCAAAATATTTTGATGCTGCTGTAAGGCACATACAACATGTGTCATGATTTATTGTTATTTCTATACTAAGTTAAAAGTCTAATAAACACTTAAACAAAGTTAATATATTTAAGCTGTCTCTCCAAGAATCTCACATCTGCTACCAATTGTGAACATTTTGGAAAAGGTGTGCACGATCACATCTTCTATCCAGCTGTGACTTTTGCCAGTTATTATAACCTAAGTTTAACCTTATTCATAAAACAAAAAAAGCTGGTCTTGGTTGATTGTTTTGCTCTGGTGTCTTTTGATGTACACTATGAACCATAGCAAAAGAAATGTTCCGTATTGTTTCACAAATATCTGTTTCACTCAAAATTCAATCAGCTGTTAAGAATGCTAAATATTCTTCCTGCTCTCCTAATAAACACTACCATATGCCTTTGTACCCCCATATTATTTGACTTGAACTCTACTCATGAAGAGAGAAATACATTCAGTTTTTTGGGTTAACTTCACTACTTTTACCAGTTTACACATTATCATAAATGTAATCAATGAAGTTTATTTGAAGCACTTACTGGCCAAAAGACATAATCCGTGAAAATCAATTTCAAACAATGTCAAGAGTTCAACCTTGAGCATTCTTAAGCTGCCAGAGCTTTACATACATGCTCATTTTTACAGTAGGTGGTAAGAGTGAAACATGTCTCTCCACTGCCCCGTGAGGCCAGAGACAACACCATAACCCTCAATGTGATACACCTAGCTCGTTCCCTGTCGCAGCCTCTTCTCCTGCTGTGGCCTTCGCGTGTACTCCCTTGCAATGTACCCCACCCTTTTTGCCTATAAATAAAGAATTTGAAAAAAAAAATACACAAATCTTTTAAATAACAGGCTTGGGGATTCCTTAAACCTGCACGTAAAGTTGTGCACCTGTATGATTTTTTTTTTAAACTACTGTTTGTAAGCAAAGTGGCTGGGGGATACTAAGTGTAGTCATTGACTGAATATGGTTATGGTAAATCCAAGGTCAATCACCTCATCAACTGATGTAGATCCAGTGTCAAACATGATGAGCAACTGCCAACACGACAGTTCACCAAGTTGCAGCAATGTAAAAAACGATGGGGAACCTGGGTAATATCAATGACCAAATGATTTTAAAAATGACAGATAGCATCTGCCATTTAGTGGAACTAGTGAAATCAATGCTGAATAAATTACTTCCAGAGGCATCAGCTGGAAGTTCAGACAGGCGAACAGGACAGAACAGAGAAAAGGCTAGGTTTGGTTCGAACTCATGTCACTCTTTGACCCTGAAGCTTATTTGTAATCATGAACATGCCCCTTGTCTCTACAGCAGGAACCCCCGGCTGCTTGTAAAAATCATCTGCTTTTTTCAGGGCATTTTTCGGCCAATGTGGAGTGTGGCAGCAGAATGAATGTAACCGTGCACCTTGCATAGAAGAGAAAAAAGTACCTTTGGAGCACACATGCTGAAGAGCATCCTCAGTGGCAACATCACTGGAAAGACTTGGGCTTCCACCTATACCCAACATCTGTCACATCCGTATAAAGATATTGTTTTCTGTTGCATTTACACATTTTCATTGTATATTTTTCTGCCTTTGTTTCCCAATTCCTCCTTTCCGATCAAAATAATTTTGATCGATCAAAAAAATTTACGATTAATCGGAGGATTAATCGTTAATTTCCTCAGCCCTAATATATATATATATATTTGTAGCCAGAGCCCCACTGGGAAGAGAGTGCTGTGAGCGTGTCATAGGACAAGCTCTCCTCCTGCATCATCCTACTCAGCCTCCTGTGACAAAACAGGATGGGGAGCGTTGTGGGGGCAGAGACAGCTGTCAGCTTTCACAGGAGGCAGAGCCAGCGGTGAGGGGGTGCAGTCAGCTCTCAAAATAGACTGAGCTCTCCTCCCATACCACCGACTCAGCCTCCTGTGACAACCGATCCAGAATGGAGAACGGTGTACAAACAATCAGCGATCAGTGATCGCTGAATGTTTGTAAATAACTGGACATAGTATGAGTTACTATGTACCATTTATCAATGAATAGGAAGGAATCTACATCACTTCCTGTTCATTCATATTTGTGTACATAGTAAACATACTATCTCCACAATTTCAGAATGAACAGGAACACTCAGTATAGAGGATTCCTGTTCATTGATAACAGAGGCTAAAGAAAAAGAGATTGGGGACTCTGTTCTCAATCTCTTTTTCTATTTTAAAAGGGAAATTTCACTGAAGCCCCCAGCAGTAAAGTTAAAAAATAAAAATATTTAATAAAAATAAATAAATAAAAATCTCTTTTTCTATTTTAAAAGGGAAATTTCACTGAAGCCCCCAGCAGTAAAGTTAAAAAATAAAAATATTTAATAAAAATAAATAAATAAAAATAAATATTAAAAAAAATGAAAAGGGTTAGAAAAAAACAATTCTCGGCTTCACTCCTGCTATGAATATATAAATCCTGTGTAAAATGAGTACACCACAAATTCAGTATATTAGCTATAAGATATAATTTGCTGCCATCTGGTGGACATGCTTGCAATAGCACATACCTCATTGGTATGATGTTGTATTTAAAATGTAAAGTCTAAACTCTGTATTAACCTTTGCTTATAACAAAAGCTTCTTCCTACACCTTCTCTGTGAATTTATAAAGGTATAACGTGGTAAGATTATTTTCCACACATACGTTTAATGTGCTTCTTTACTCTCTTCTCAGTCAAGCAAAAACATATCTGCTCTGCTCTGCCTTCAACCAGCAGCTTTGGAATTGATCAGATATGATCTAACACAGTTGACAGATTACATATTTTACATGGGCTACCTGTTGTTTTCTTGCATTAGTACACCAATGTTAACAAATAAATAAATTAATAAAAACTGTCTAGTAATCATGCACTTAGTAACACGTGATAGCTACCTATGTACTGTACTTTCAAAATGTAATTGTAGTTGTCATCTTACTAGAGTGCGTGTTTTAGGGAACAATTAAGCCTTACTGCCGTTTATTTATGAATAGCAGCCTTATTCATCAAAACTTTGCCAATTTTCAAAGTGATCTTAAGACAGTGGCTTCTTGATATATCATAGAAAGTAGTAAGTCCCTCTGCACTCCTCACAGCGCTCCCGGCCCAAGTACTTGTAGTGGTGCTCGCAGTGACAATCACGGATGGCATCGTGCAACAAACAGTGAAAAGCAGAAATCACAAGCACTCAGTAAATATCTTTGATGTCCATTTAATCGGACCAATCGTCAATTGTCATGTACAAGATAGCAACATTTCGGGACCGCACAGGATCCCTTCATCAGGGCGACAATTGACATAGTATTGATATAGGCTGACTTGTTACATTGTCGCCCTGATTAAGGGATCCTGTGCCGTCCCGAAACGTCGCTATTTTGTATGACAATTGATGATTGGTCCGATTAAATGGACATCAAAGATATTTACTGAGTGCTGGTGATTTCTGCTTTCCACATCTTGCTATATCAGACACTAGTGACTAGTAGCAGCACAGTGGCGTAGTAATTAGCGCTTCTGCCTTGCAGTAGCACTGGGGGTCCTTGGTTCGAATCCTGGCCAGGTCACTATCTGCAAGGAGTTTGCATGTTCTCCGTGTGATTGCCTGGTTTTCCTCTGGGAACTCCGGTTTCCTCCCACACTCCAAAGATATGCTAGAAGGTAAAATTGGCTCTTGTCTAAATTGGCCCTGTATGTTTGAATCCGATATAGGGACATTAGATTGTAAGCTCCTTGAGGGCAGGAACTGGTGTGAATGTGCATGCACTATGTAAAAGCGCTGCGTAAATTGTTGGCGCTAAGGCGATATAGGGACCTTAGATTATAAGCTCCTTGAGGGCAGGGACTGGTGTGAATGTAAAAGCGCTGCGTAAATTGACGCTATATAAATACCTGAAATAAATAGTAGTCCACACTATGCAATATTGATTATTTCTGGCCTCTGCACTTCACAGTTTAACCCTTAAGCACACCAGCAATCCATAAATGACTTAGGGCCAATTGACACTAGCGGGCAAGCCTTGTACAACGTATCACAGCTTGCTTTTTTTTTGAACTTTATCAAAGGTTACAGTTCATTTAACTCTATGCACGGCAGCTCATATAATTACATTGTAATGTGCTGTGCAAAAATGTAACATGTTCTACAATTTTTCAGCACACACCAACATGGTCTGAACTTAACTAATAAGATATATTGCTTTGTCTGTGCATTGGGACTGCGTTGGGCAATGCTGGCAAACACAGCCTAATAGGGCTGGTGTGAATAAGCCCTTGCAGACATTTTAACTTGGGCTTGAAATTACGTACCTATGAACTGAGTGACTAAAACGTGAGTAATATTTTAGGAAACATGATTTAAAGAGGACCTTCACCCCTTTGACTAAAATTCACATCAGCATGCAGCTCTGCATGCTGATATGAACGTGCCTTATATTTTTTAATTAAACATATTTTTATTTTACCTACAATTTCTTTTTTCCATTTCCTTATCCTCCTTGGTACAAATGATGTAACCATGCCCAAGTTTTGCATCCTGGGAATGTTATATCAGCAGAGCATTGCTGGGAAATCTCAACTGTAATCTCAAAAGGTCTCAGGGAAAGGCATTCACCTCCCCTGAGATGATGTGCAGGGTCACATGTCCTAGTCACATGTGCCAGAGTTCCAGAAAGGGAGATCTAGCAATCTGCACTTAGTAAAAATTACCACTGTGAGAAGAATGGGGAGAAAAAGAGAAATAAGGTCTGTGAAAAATAAAAAGCCAGCAATTATCTGTAAGTATCTGTTTGTAGATTGCCATTACTAAACATTTCTAAAGGTGTGTTTTTTGGTATTTTGAACATATGAGTAAAGTTCCTCTTTAGGTGTAACTTGAACAGCATTTTGTTTTTGGCAGAGTGAGGAAAATTAATCTATAACCTTAGGTATTGTGTATTATTGTGAAGAATCTCCCAGGCTCCCTACCTGTCCACATGACTGGAGATCTAAAAATAAACCAAGACAGAAGTAAAAAGCTGACTGAGGTTTTTGCCTTCTCTAGTGTATCCAGAACTTCAGACTATTCAGAAAAAAAGAATAGCAAGAAGTATTTACAGGTATTTAAATATAGCACCCTTAGTTTATACAGTGCTTTACATAGTGCACATTCACATCAGTCCCTGCCCTCAAGGAGCTTTTAATCTAAGGTCCCAATCGCATATGTACATAAAGAGGAACCAATTAAGCAACCCACCATGTCTTTGGAGAGTGTGAGGAAACCAAAGTACCAGAGGAAACCCAAGCAAGCAAAGAAAGAACATGGAAACGCCATGTAGATAGTGTCCTGACTGAACCTGCATTAGAACCAGGGACCTCAGCGCTACTAACCACTGAGTCATTGTGCTTCCCACTGCTGTTGTGCTAAGTCTCTGGACAAATGTCCCACATTTCTCAGCATATTAATTAGTAGATAAAAGTCGATAAATGACTCCGAACAATAATTTGTATTTGATAACAGTGTGAGGTAAGATTATCACACTTGTATAACTCTGCGGTTTGCAGGTCAAAATCACCAGAGCACGGCCACTTGATGAACTATATACTAAATGGCAGTCCTCCTCAAAGGTGGATCCCACTAAAGGTCTCAACATACACAACATACATGTGTAATTAGACTTGCTTAAAAGGTACAAAGGAATCTCAAGTGGCCTAACAGTTGATCTTGATTGGTGGGAGTGAAAATAAACAGGTACATCCCTTACTGTCCAATGTACTCCCAGTGTGTGCAAAATATAGGTTCACTTTACCAGAATAGTTTAATGGCTCACTTAAACTATTGTTAATCAAAAGGATGATTTCCTGCCCGTGGTTTTGGCTTCAGTTCTGCAATGCAGATTAGCATAGCTTATTTAGCTTTCTTCCAAGTAATATTTTAACTAATCGCCTACAGCTACTGCTACTTCTTTACAGGTATATAGGCCAGGGAGATTGAATACAACAGAGAGACTACACCCACGTGTTTCCATTCAAATATTGTAAAATTGTTTTGAGTAGACATGCTTTTTTTAAATACACCTTTTCAGCAAGTCCCTATAATATTGTTGATTCAATACAAAGCCCAGCACAACAATCCTATTAGATCAATAATTGAAAAATTGTGAATTTATCCACACTATGGTATACTTACTTGTAATTTTACTTGTATCGACCAATCTCCAAGTGGTGGATTATCACTTAACTGAAAACTTTTTAAAACAACTCCTAATTCAGCTTCCTCTTCCATCCATTGCTCAAGTAACTTTCCACGTGGGTCCTTTAAATGTAACATTATTACAATGAGATGTGTTGTTATTTTCATTATCCATCATTATTAGACATGTGGAATTTTTTTTAGGAAAGATTCACTATTCGGACAAATTTTTGTTATTCGGAGATTCGGATATATCAGAATTATCATGACAGAAATGACTCATTCAAACGAATCCAAATTTCCGATAGCGAAAATTTCTGCAAAGTGACACTAGACAAATTGAGACAGTTGAGAATGTCAAATGGGTGGAATGAGCCCCATGACGTCACGACTTGCTCCACCCATTTGTTTACAGTCTGGCCAGAGATGTCATTTTGTGGCGAGTCTTCGCAGGGTTCATACAGGTCGGCGTGTGGCGAGACTTTTTTTATGTTGATGAGTCGGCGGGCATCATTCATCATGATTGATGTTGGATTACATCTATGGAGCCATTTTTTTTATATAAAGGGATTGTCAAAAACTGACTCTTTGTTTTTTTTTTTTTTAATAACAGGATTTTTTCTAACAGTATAGTAGGTTTATTTACTTTTAACGCTTAAGTGAATGAGTATGGGTGCAAGTAGGGGTACCCTGATGCAAATAAGCGCCCCAGCTCGCAGACCCCCACAACCACCGAGTCAGGGTTGTGGGGAAGAGGCCCTTGTCCCCATCAGCATGGGGACACCCTCTCATACCGAAGGCACGTGGCCTGGTAAGGTGCAAGGATGGGGAATGCTTGATCAGCCCCCCCCCCCTTCCCTGTCCTGCAGGGCCTGTGCTCGGATCAAGAGTCTGGAATTTTAGGGGTCCCCACATTTCCCCCCCCATTTTCTGGGGGTTGTGTTCCCCCTTAAATTGTCTACTAGACCTAAAGGGCCTGGTATGGCTTTTGGAGGAAATCCAACGCACTGTTTGGGGGTCCCTCCAAACATTTCTACCAGACCTAAAAGGTCTGGTATGAATCGGAAGAGGAACCTCACGCTTTTCTTTTTTTCTTCTGCGGACTGTAAAAAAAATGTCATTTTTTTTCTTTGTGTCTATTGTCACTTTGCTGCAATTAAAATTCATCCGGAATGAAAATTCTTACATACTACCGCTAAGGAATTTTGTCCAAATCCAGAAACTAGTCGAATCTTGGACCAAAATCCCACAAAACTAAATAACAAAAAATCAGAATAAATATGAAACTAAACAAATTTATTGCCGTTGCACATGTCTAATCATTATCTATGCACATTGTTGGCCTTGGTAAGATATAAATATATATTTTCTGAAAACTCTTGTTGCAACTAGTGATGGGCCGAACACCCCCCATGTTCGGTTCTAAATCGAACTTTCGAACATGGAAAAAGTTCTCATTCGAATTTAGAACTCAATGCAAGTCAATGGGGGTAGAACTTTCAAAACAATTGTCCCCTTTAGGAGGGCTTATATGCAAGTTATTGGCCATAAAAAGGATTTGGGTACTGCCCTGGGGGACAGGAGCAGTGATTTTAACATTACTTAAAGGGTAACAATAAAAATGAAAAATTCCTTTAAATATCGTGCCTGGGGGGTCCCCTTAACCTGCCTGTAAAGTGGCAAATCTGTACGATGTATAGAACCTGCTGCAACAAAACTGGCATTTCTAAAAAAAAATGATTTTTTTTTCTCTTCAAAGCGTGCGGTTCCCCCTTCCAAACAATACCAGACCCTTTAGGTCTGTGGTAAAAATGTTAGGGGGGGGGGGCCCATTAAAAAAAAAAGCGTGGGGTTCCCCCCAAAAGTCATACCAGACCCTTGAAGTCTGGTAAGAATATTTAGGAGGGACCCTGTGTAAAAAAAAAAACAAGTGTGTGGGGTTCCCCCTCAAAGTCATACCAGGCCCTTATGGTCTGGTAGGAGTTTTAAGGAGGAACCTGCCCCCAAAAATGGGGAAAAAACGTGGGGTCCCCCCTAAAATTCCACACCAGACCCTTGATCCGAGTATAGGGCCGGAAATGGGGGGCACGAGCGAGCACCCCCCCCCCTTCCCGTACCAGGCTACATGCCCTCGGCACTGGGAGGGTGCTTTTCCAGGGTCGCCCCTGGAAAAGCACCTTGTCCCCATGCCGATGGGGACAAGGGCCTCTTCCCCATAAGCCCTTGGGCATTGGTTGTGGGGCAGGGGGCTTATTCACATCAGGGTACCCCTTTAATAAAGGGGCAACCAGATGTACTTGTACCCCTACCCATTCACTAAAGGGTTAAAATTTAAATAAAAAAAGACTTTTAGAAAAAAAAACTTAATTGAAAAAAACACACAACAAAGGATTTTGACAAGTCCTTTATTGTTGAAAAAAACCCCCAAAAATGGATCCACCGATGTAATACAGGGTCAATCACAATGTACAGAGTTGTTTACGATGACGACGACTTCATAAAATAAAAAATAAAACTATAAAAAATAAATAGAAATAATAATTTTAAAAAACCCAACGACCGCCGTCCCGTTCACTCGTGACGAACACCTGCCGCAGAATGGCATTTTGACAAATGCCGGTAACATATAAACATTTGGGCAGAGCTAGCAGTGACAGCTAGCTCTGCCCAACTGTTTACAGTTGTGACAGGTGGGCCATGATTGGGCAGAGTCATCATGACTTTACCCAATCATGGCTTCAAAGTTCTCTGTGCCCTGTGGTCAGGTGCAAGGCTTTAGCCAAATAGGGCTCACAAGGCATAATGCCCTGTTAACACACGAACTGCTGATGTTCAAGTCGAACTCACGTTCGGCTTGAACATTAAGCCCAACGCCAGGTGCAACCCTGATTATTATTATTTATTTTGTGCAAATATTTAAAAAAAAGGAATAACGAGTGCACACAATTACTTCAGTTGTGAAGGAGGAAAAAACTGAGATGTATGGACCCACTTTAGGTCTGGGCGGGAGTCAGAGGTAATCAGACATGCGTTAGTTTACATCACATTACCTGCAATCCATCACAATCAGTCCTCCATCTTGACCTAGATTAAGTCATGGTTAATCGGATGCAAATGGAGGCACATCTATTTCCAGCTTGCTGCACATGGACTAACATTGAGCTTCCAATAAGATCTGCCTGACAAACTGACAGGCGGACCTGATCAGACCACCCGTGTGAAAGGGGACTAAGGGAGAGGTGACTGAGACAATATTTCCTCTTGCTGGAATGAGACTGCTTGCAATATCTCAATTAAAGTCACTTGCCTGGTGCTCAAATGGTGATAAAACCCCTAATGATAAAACATGAATCTTTATTTAAAAAAAGAAATGTATTTATTTATGCAGAATTTTAAAGTTACAAAAAAGTTCACTAATTGCACTAATTGTCCACTTTAATATGGCATACAGTACTGTATAGCTGGCAAGTCCCTTCCACTTATAAACATGGTGTTATATTAAGTCATAGTAAAAAAAAAAACATAATCCACATAACTGTACTTACCTTGATGTGTATATCAATGGTAGACATGTAAGGCTTTAGATCAGCAGAGAAGGCCAAAATCTGAATTTTTACTTCTTGCCCAGGCTTATAAAAGATGCTGTTTGTCTCAATGAAAACTGAATAGCTTTTGGATTTAAAATCAAGTGTAGTCGTATTAGCAAATATTTGTATACCATCAGAAAATCCTCTGACGTGAAGTTTATATGTCCCATGAAAATTATTTAGAGGAAGCTGGAAAAGAAAAACATGGTGAAAGTGAACAGAAAGGGAAACAAATTATGCAATATGAAAAATAAACTATTTGCTTTAGCTTCATGGATTTCATATCCAGATAAACAGTAATTCACATTTTTATTTTTCTGAAATAGATTTTTTTCTTACTTGTGGAAGAATCAATGTTCCAAATGTTCCTGTATGAATGAAAGAAAGAAAGAAAGAAAGAAAGAAAGAAAGAAAGAAAGAAAGAAAGAAAGAAACAATTAATAGGTGTTGCATTATTACATTTTAAAACACTTCAATTAAAAAATTCAAAATCAAATTTAAAGGTAACTACATAAGACGTTTTCCAATGAGCCAAAAATAAGCCAAACACAAGTAACCAGCATTCATAAATAAATACACAGAACAAATGTATTTAATGCAGGTACAGAGTAAAAACCAGGCAAGACAAGAATGGCACTAAGTAACAAACTGGATTAATATACAGATCTAAGAAATAAATACATATTACCGATATTATAAAAACATTGAATAAGTGTAACAAATGTTTACAATGTATAATATGCTGAAAACATCAAATATAAATATAAGATAAATACAGTAAATGATCAAGAAAAAAGAAAAAAACACTATACGAGGAGGCCATTGTCCCATCTGTGATTTAGGCATTGAAATATTCTTGAAGAAAGGGAAAATAGAATGTATATAAAACTGGCAGAAATAGCAAATCATAATTAGTAAATCAAATCCTAAAAATTAAACATGAATCAATCCATAAATAATGAATTAAGTGTACTTGTGCAATAGAACCACAGGGTGTCACCAGAGTTCAGATACATATAGTAACACTGTTGAAAGACAAAAACTGAAACCTAAAAAGTCACTATATTAGGAAATACTCATTACTAACTGGCTACAAAAAGCCCTACTAGGTCACTAAGTATCACCAGTATGCAAGTGCACAAAATACAAAAAAATTATGAGAACACAAATTGAAAAAAATTGATATAATAATACCAAAAAAGCTAAAAGAGCCTTATATGAAAACAGAATACCCACTATAGGGATGCATGGGAATATGGTGTGTTTTTCTAGTTTATCATTGAGACCATAGGCTGAGCTTGTCAAGACTCCCCTCATCCACAGAGGGGTTTGAAATGCTCACCTTTAGGTAATTTAGCATTACTTGTTTCTACCCAAAAAAATTATAACTGGCTAAGGTCACTACCAACGTGGCTACATTACTTTGCTATATTTCTTCAACAGTCTCCAAATCTGGTTCTCAATGTATGAATAGTCGAGCCTATACTATTTAGGCTGTGTGAACAAGTCAGACAGTAAATGACATAGGATGAAGAGCATTAATGAACTGCTTGATTTTAAAGCATCTTTTTAAATTATTTAGGATTTTTTTTCTGTGTAAGATCAAATCACATGTGCTGCAGTTAAACATCCTGCATGAGAAACATACACATGTTAGAAAAAGCCATAGAGTATGGTGTAGCAGGGGGCGATGCTTTAAGCTTGTTAGTGACAATAATATTGGTGATACATCCTGGCTTCCAGGACACTGCAGTGGGCTTACATGGTAAAATACTGCTTAAAATAGAGTCTCATTAAAGGATACCCCAATGTTTGTCTATATACAGCCAGTCTGGTAAGCGGTAGCATTATGTAGTGTAGAGAATTTACAGCTGTTCTCTTTATTCTGCTTAGAATTAACTGGGGCATGATTATCTTTCTGTTTTACACCAGAAAGATATTTGTTGAATGCAGACAACAACATAGATTTTTTTATAACCTTTTTATTTGAACTTATGCAGTAAAAGCTGGCCATGAAAAATATAGTCCTAATTATTGGAATAGTTTCTAGATATCCTATAAAACTGGCTCGGTCAGCTTAAAATTAGTTTTACCCAAAATACAACCCTGATTGTAATGAACAATAAGTAAATCTAAGAAGACCAACTGGTCGTGATCTGAAACAAAGGTGAACTTGATGAAAAAATTAATAATTTTTATAGTCTGAAACAAAATCCAAAATGGAGGAAGAAAGACTTTTCCATAGAATGAGGATGTTATCAATAAACCAGGTGTATAGGCCATGGTTTGGTCTAAAAGGGCTATTTACCCAAATGTAAAGATCTTCCCAGTAAGTAAGTCAACAGGATAGAATTCCAGTGAGCAAAAGGTGTAAAGAGAGAGTGTCTTTTAGATAGATCATCTCTAATATCTAACACAGAGTACAGATTTCACATCTCTGAACAGCTGGACAACCATCTACCAAATTAGTGAACAGTAGGGTGTGTATACACGTCTCTGTTTGGAGGGTGAACCTCAACATTTTACAACACAGAAGAGTCACATGCACGTGGGGATTTGTGTCTGACATGATGGATCCTCTTTATATGCATGTACAGCTTGGTCAATTTTGGAGTATCAGATCTTTAATAAATTTGCTGTCATACATCTATAGCCATTTGAGATACCTGAGAGCTGCTAATTTTGTGGGGACCCACAAAAAAAGGGCAAATTTGTCCTAAACTCAGACTCTGCTGACATCTACCATGTTTAGGAGGGCATAGAGCCCACATTGTACTGGAAGGGATAGATACAGATTGTGGATATAAATGACTTTTACTTTGTTCTGTGCTGTTGCTTTGTCTTTACTTTCCCTTATATTTCTGTATTACTATATTGTAAATGGTTTGTTTCTCCATCTGTTTTCTATGACTTTCCACTGTTCACCTACCTCTTTAACCACATACTGTATGTGTGAGGATGTGGATAGGAAAGTCAACAGGATAGAATTCCAGTGAGCAAAACGTGGTAAAGAGAGAGTGTCTATTAAATAGATCACCTCTAATATCTAACACAGATTACAGTCTTTTCTAGACATGTAACCCTGCAAAAAATGTGCTTAGTTTCGGACCAATTCGTATTTTTATTAATTTGATTCTGTTCGTTATTTGGATTTCGGATCCGTCACAAAGTCACGTGACCATGCATTGCAACACCGGCAGCAGCCAAAAAAAACCCATCTGACTGGCCAGAGAACAGTCAAATGTCTGGTTTAGTTTTGTCCAAAATTCAGATGGATCCGAATTTTCGTTAAAGCAACATTTGGATTAGTTTGCTTTCGGACTCAAACTTTACTACCAAACTTTATTGAAGCCCATAAAACGGCATACACCATGTTACATTACATGGTGTATGCCGTTTTATGGACTTCAATAAAGTTTGGATTTATACGGAGGTAATATTGAGTGCGCCTCTTCTTGGATGAAAGCAACATCTACTATTTAGCATTTACCTTTACATTACCATTACACACCAATGTGTGATTTTGTCACTTACCTCTTTGAAACACTCCTTCTCCTTGAAGTAGTGAAGTATTATCTTTACGAATTTCAGCTTCAACTTTTACTAAAGGTGGGCTATCTTCTAGTATATCAATTCCTAAAATGAATTTTGATCCAGGACGAATATCTAAAGGGGTAGTAAGCAGGAACGTCGGCCTAATAAAGGAAGAGATGGAATTATGTCAACAGCATAGTAAAATGTTACCTTTACTGCAAGCTAGGAATGATCACATTTATGGAAGCTCATCAAACAAAACTATATAATAGACTAAAGCAGAGCCAATATGCATTATACAGCACAAAATCATTGTTTATATTCAGGCCAAATGGAATCAAGATGACTTGGATATTAATGTAGATATCAGATAATGGGTTATTCATTCATTAGGCTTAGTCATAGTATTATTATTATTATTACATAGTATTTATATAGCGCCAACAGTTTGCAAAGCGCTTTACAATATAAGGAAGACATTACAGTTACAATACAATTCAAGACACGATGGTAAGGAGGGCCCTGCCCCTGAGGGCTTACAATCTAAAAGAGGAGGGGGAAATTATACATGAGGTAGCTGTGGTAGCTGTGGGAAGGAATTATGTGAGAATGTGAAGGTTCAGTGGTTAGGTTGAGGTGGGATAGGCTTCCCTGAAGAGATGAGTGTTTGGTAACTTCAGTTTGCCACGGTTGTAGCAGGCGTGGTCTAAGTCTGCGTGTTGTGAGGGGAGCCAAGGTGTCTAGGGAGGATGAGAGTGAGTTGTTAAAAACAGAAGTAGCCAGGTCAGGGCACGACAGGGGTGAGATTTTGTCAAAGAGGGAGTCAGTAGCAGAGTGGAGAAGAGAAAGGTCGAGGTGGTGGAGGTTTCTCTGGGTGACAGTGTGCCTTGTAGGGGGAGTCAGTGTTGGGGACAGGGTGATTGTGAAACTGACCAGGTTGTGGTCTGAGAGTGGGAAAGGGGTGTTGGAGAGGTTGCAAGGAGTGCATAGGTGGGAGAAAACAAGATCAAGTGTGTTACCATCAGAGTGAGTAGGAGTCTGTGTCCATTGAATTAGATCAAAAGAAGAGGTTAGGTTAAGAAATTGAGTGGAAGCTAGTATAATGTTATGTCTTCTAATATACTCCAGGGCTATGACAAAATGTGTTTTTGTGTGATTGGCTGTTTAAATTGAACAGAAGTGGTTCACCGCTCGGGCAAACCACTGTAGATAGTATCATAAGTATAATTGTGCAAGATTAGAACTGCTGTCAGGTTTGTTTTACTGTCTTTTTCCACATATGTGACATACGGGAGTGGGGTAATATCCCCTAAGTAAGACTATTTCCCTCATTTGCCTGTTGGCACAGGTGTCCCCAGTGGAAGATATTCTCTCCACACCTTTTTCAATGACAGCTGTTAAATTTGGATGTTTACTTTTTTGTGCCCTGGTGACAAATAGTGAAAGTGGGTCTCCCCAAAAGAATTGTGGTCAGCAAAAAAACCTCACAGGGGTTCTGCATGCAACATTCCCTATACTACAAAAAAAAGTGACACTGTAGCATACCCCCCACCCCCCAAAAAAACTGATCTATATGTCAACCGATCAGGCTATTTCCTTAATTTTTAACATGAAGCCTTATTGGTTGCTGTGGAATATGCTCCAGGTTGCTCCAATTGTCTTTACTCCAGGTTTTGTAAATTAGCCTGGTTCAAAACACAAACAACGCTGCAAGTAATGAACAGAGAGCACTTCAAATCACATTAATATAACAATTATTTGTTTAAATATTTTATGTACATTCTGAAAATCATTCTGAAAATCATTCAATAATTTCATTAAAAATGCTACTGGGTCATTGTATATCTGTCCAAATTTATTAGTAATACAGAAGAGTGTACTGATCCACAGGGTTTAAATAATAACTAAACACAAAACTTTTTGTTTTAGATTTGGATAGAGTGGTGAGGGGTTAGAACCACTATCAGGTCTTTTTTTTGCTGCCTGTGTCCCCTTTAGGCAAATACATTCATTTTATTTGTCCCGGTCTCCAATGTCACCAGGTATAAAAGTGAGGTTAAATCCAAAATTGTGAGCTGCCACAAGAACAGGACCTGAGACATAGATGGCAAAAATACTCATAGTGGTTTAAACCCTTACCTAATCTATCCAAAATATTTAACAAATTGGCTTTAGCTATATCGGCTATATCGTACATCGGCTTGCTTCGCATGGCTTCGGGTCGGCCGAACATGCTCAGCATGTTTGGCCGAACCAAAGTGCAGAAGGAGTTCGACTCAGCCGATCCAACATCTGGATCGGCTGAGCTGAACCTCCGGCAGGCTACTCACTGCTGTTCGGCCTATTCTCATAGATGCCGAACAGCAGTGAGTGAATAGCCGAATGCCGCTGTCCAGAGAGAAGCTGATTGGTTCCCATGCACAGCTGCTCCAGATTTTGTCTGCTCCAGTTTTGATAAATTCCCCTCTTTCTAGATTGTGTACCCATTCAAATAATTGCACATGGCAACCAATCAGCTTCTTCCTTTTTTTTTAAGCCCGTGGAGCGTGCTCAAAAACGAATCCCCTGTGAACAAAAAAGTGAATCGTGAAATCACAACACACTGAAAAAAGTGCACAAGGGTGCTTGGTCCTTCTCCGAAAAGAAGGGGCCGCAATTTCCTGACTTCCCGGGGCGCAAGGCTCTTGACAGGGGCTAGGACAACTTTGGTCCACCTACCCGAAGGCCGGCGGATTTTGTCTGCTCTAGTTTTTATAAATTCCCCTCAAAGTGTTCTATAAATGAACAAGGGGAGAGCTTCAATACTTTCTGATTCATTGGCCACGGCCAGCAAGCGTATGGAAAAGCTGCTCTGATTTGACTAGCTGCATACAAGTCTTGGGTAACTAGCTCAGGAAACATTAAAAGTAGGTCAGGCAACTATGATTTTCAGAGGGAGTTTAGCAATGGCAGCCACCTTATTTTTCTTAGCACAGGCTTAGGGTACGTTCACACCAGATGCGATGTGTTCCGGCCCGATTCTGGCCAGAACGCACTGCATAGTATTGCGGCCAGCTCACTTTTTTGTGGGGCAGGAGGGGGCATGGCGGGCCATTGAAGTGAATGGCACCGTAGCCACGCCCTACGGGCCGCAATGTGATCATCCGCACGGTAATCGCAAGGCACATTGTGCCTGCAGTCCGGTCCGGTGCGGTGCAATCAAAATAGTGATTGCAGCATTTTGATCGCCCCGGACCGGACCGCAGGCAACTGAACAAAAGTTGCTCAAAGAATTGAAGGAGATGGGTGGTATATTTTTGGCCGAACTGTGACTGCATACAATCAGGTGAGGTCACTGTTTGGGATATACAATAGCTGACAGTGCAGATTCCTCAATATACATTTCTACATACATCTATACAGTACCTGCATGGCTAGCTTAGGGCTAGCAAGTCCTCTGGGCAAAGAGAGGAAGGCACAATAAAGTTTTCTTAACTACCTGCTGTCCGGCCGCTGTAATTAAACTGCCGGACAGCGGCTTCTTGAGGGCGGGTGGGCGTCTTTAGACGTCCTATCCTGCTCCACTCGTGCCCGCCGCTTTTATGTAAACAGCCAGCGATGGCTGTTTACATACAAGCGATCGGGCATCTGTAGAGACGCCCGATTGCTTGTAATATCCGGTCAGGTGTGCGCCCCCCTCAGTCGCAGCCGCTGCTGGCGATCCCGGGCTGCGCTGTAGCACAGCAGCTCAGCGGCCGGAGATCAAATGGAGATCAGTACTCGAGCTCCGTTTGATCTCCTCTCCTTTTCTGAATGCAGGCAGTGATGTGTATTACATCACTGCCTGCATTCAGTGTCACTCTCCAGTACAGAAACCGGAGAGAAGCTGGTGAAGCAGGTCTCTGCTTCATCAGCTTCTCTGGGGGTCCCTAGGTGACATTAGTGGTCAAAGAGGACCTGTCACTGCAAATTGGCTATCACATAGGGAGCTTGCTTGCTCCCTATGTGATAGCAATAAAGTTCAGTGGGAAAAAAAGGTTTAAAAAAATGTGTTACAAAAAAAATAAAAAAATCACATATCAAAGCAATAATGACATGCCCCCACATGCACACGCAAACGTGCGAAAACGCTGATTACATCCATTGCACCGCACATGTTACATATCGCCGCAAACGTCGGAATGAGAGCAATAATTCTAGGGTCATCAATCATTGATAACACTAAACTGATGAGCGGTAAAAGCTTTTAAAGCATCGGCTACAGTAAATTTTGAGTATGGTAGTTTTTTGCGAATTAACCGGTGCGCGCAATTCTAAAGCTTGACATGTTTGGTGTCTATTTAACCGACGTGACCCTGGCTTTTATATTTTACCAAAAAATTGGGTAATAATAAATGTTTTATAACATAACGTAGGGAGAACAGTTTTTTTTTCAAAATTTTCGGTATTTTTTTTATTATACAGTAAAAAAAAAAACCTGTAGTGGTAATTAAGTACCACCAAAAGAAAGCTCTATCTGTCCCCAAAAAATTGTATAAAATTCATTTCAGTACAGCGTTGCATGATGGAATAAATATCAGTCAAAGTACTGCAGCGCTGAATACTGAAAAATGGCCTGGTCAGGAAGGAGGTATAAACACCCCGGTCAGCAAGTGGTTAAAGCACATCTAAACCCAAAAGCAAAAATGTAATATATTGCAGCTTATAATTCTTAGATGTTGTGGCTGCATTAGTTTTGTTTTTTTTAGGCTTCTCACCTGGTCAGATGGGGCAAGTCTATAACTTTTCAACTTCCTTTAAAAGACCAAATAGTCCAGCAAAAGTGGCAGTTAGAAGGTTGAGACAAACCATTTTACACTGAAGGGGGTGATTACAATGGTCAGCTTTTATTCATTTATGGAAAACATTTATCCCAAAAGAAAAGTGTTGCTGTAACTGCTTAAAAAGTGTTAGCTGGATTGAATTCAAGTCCATCTATATCTGCTAGTACATCTAACACTACCTCTCTACAGGGTGGCAATGCTGCTGTCCAAGTGTGGCTCTGTTGTTCCTCCATAGATTGGAGCCACCCTGAGACAGGAAGTGTGTTACTGGCTGGAACACCAGGTGAAAATAAAGGAAAACGCCTAAAAAAAGAAAATGAATGCAGCCACCACATTTAAGGATTGTTTACATTTTTCTA